GCCGTGCGGTCAACATAAGCATGCAAAGCTCGTACAGGACATAGGACATGATGAGGGCTATGGAGTGAAAGCAGAAAGCGTCACCACTTGCACTCTGAACGGCGTCGAGAGTGACTTGGGCATGTAGCCCAATCTTGGCTTGAGTGTAACATTACAATCACCTGGTCCAAACTGCATGCAAGCAGCATTCACAGATAGCGCTTGTAAGTCCCACACGTGCTTGACCGAAGATTGACTGAAGCCTGAAGCAGCTCAAAGGGCGGCAGAGCCAGCGCCCCCAGCACCAGAGCCAGATCCTAGGATGGCACAGTGGGAGGGTGAGAGGGTCTCAGCCGTCTCACACCTCTCAAAAATCTGATCACCAAATCGTGTTTACCAACCGAGTGCCCATTGATAGTAGTGTGAGAGGCTGAGATAGCTGCAACATAAACCTTAAGGCATACTGCCACTGTTGCAGAAAGCCCAGAATGTCAGACACGGGACAGTTCTCCGGGTTGCAGCCATTTGATTCACACCATTTAACAAAGACTGCCCATTTAAGAGCATACAATCGTCTCGTAGAAGGGATTCGCGCCTCCATAATCGTGTCCATCATGCGGCGAGACAGGAGGTCCCGTCTCAGCAGGATCTGCCATGGGGAAACCGTCAGTATCTCCAGCAGGTCAGGGAACCATGGTCTGTTTGGCAAGTATGGAGCAATTTGAATCACCGGCGCCCTCTCCTCTTTGATTTTGTGCAACACTTGTGGTAAAATCTTCAGCGGGGGGAACGCATACAGATGGGCTTTCAGCCACGGCATTGTGAGTGCGTCCCCGCCCAGGGGAGAGAGTGACAGAGAAAAGAACAGCGGGCAATGCGTGTTCTCCTCTGTCACAAACAGATCCACTTCTGCCTTCCCGAACCGCTCCTAGATCAGTCTCACTGACCCGGGGTTCAGCCTCCATTCTCCGTGAAGAATCCCATTCCTCGATAGCATATCTGCGCCGCTCTTCAGGCAACCCGGGACGTGCGCTGCACGAATGGAGAGCAGATGGTGATTGGCCCACAGCAACACTCGTGCCGTCTGTTCGCAGAGGGCTTTCAAGCGTACCCCACCTTGGCGGTTTATGTACGATACGACCGATGTATTGTTTGGGCGAATCAGCATATGATGCCTCCGTACCTGCATGAGGAAGCTCCGGAGGGCTAAAAAGGCTGCTTTCAGCTCGAGGCGATTTATGTGCCACATCCTCTCCGACTCCGTCCAGGAGCCCGAGGCCGGTATGCCGTCGCAATGCGCTCCCCAGCCCTTCATCGACACATCCGTCGTGACCAGTCCCATCTGGACGCCGCGCCGGTACAGGTTGGGGGCTCGCCATGGTTTCAGCGGACTCAGGCACCTGCGAGTGACCACCACGCGAGTGTGGGAACCGCCGCGGTGGAGATTTGACACTCAACGCAGAGGCAAGAGCATTACCGGTTGCACGGGGAGGCTGTGAGCCCGAGTCTATTAACAATTCCCCCACCGAACATAGAGTGTGTGGAACCGTTATAACTGGAGGAGGAGAGGAATGCTCTTTTTGTGAGGGTGTCACAGACTTTATTACATTCTGAACAGACACAACAGAGACATTCTCGTGGTCGCCTGCAACCGCCAAGGAGACCTCGTGAGAACATTTCGGTCGCTTTACGGCGGGCCCGCAGCTAGGCATTCTCCTTCTCCGAATAATCCCTTCAGGAACGAGACCTATGATCCAATGGAGGGGGGCCCCCAGGACAGCCGTCCTTCTTCTTGGGACTGTGACGCAAGTCCTCTGTCATGCGGTTTTGGCACGAACAGAAGGCTCCTGATCTGGCGTCGATGCAGCGGGAGCTGGGGGGGCATGCTTCGCTGGGCGGCAGGAAGCAGACGTTGACCTACTTCGTGCTGAGGGTTGCGGCGCTTTAGCACGGCGTTGCAGGAATAGACTCATTGCTTTGGAGCGTTTCTGAGCTTCTGAAAAGCGCTCCGAGATGGCCTCCACGGCATCTCCAAAGAGGCCGGAGGGAGACAAAGGCACATTGAACAGAGCCTTCCTGTCCACATCCTTTAGCTCTGTCAGCATCAGCCACAGATGCCGGTGGAGCACCACCATGTAACCCATGCTTCGTCCGATCGCCTGGGCCGTCTTTTTAGTGGCTTTTAAGGCGAAGTCCGTTGCCGCACGCAGATCCTTAAACGCCTCAGGATCCGTCTCCCCCTCGTCCAGGGATTTCAGGAGCTGTGCCTGAAAAACCTGTAGCACTGCCATCGTATGAAGCGCTGAAATCGTCTCTGTCGAGGCAGCGTATGCTTGATCCGCGATGTGGGCGGTCAGACGGCAGGGCTTCGATGGCAGCATCGCCTCCGCTTTCAGAGAGGCCGACGAGGGGCAGAGGTAGGTGGCGACAGACACCTCGATGGGCGGAATGCGCATATAACCTCGTGCCTTTTATTGAAAATATGTGATCCACCAGCGTGGGTGCGAGCCGACTGGGGCGCAGCCCACGCCTCAGCGACTTCCTCGTGCAGATCGGGAAGGAATGGGGCTCGCTTCCTCGGCACAGCAGCTCGGCGGCCCGAGGAAAGGAATCAAGAATCCAGCTTACTCTTAACAGGTTTCTTTAAGAGTACTGCTGAGTACCTACTGCTGCTTCCGCATGGGCGAGACCCAGGCACAGGATGCAGTACTCGTGGGTGTCCGGAGCCTTGATGGGTCCCGAACACAGCAATAACTCGACATGCTGGAACGTCAAGAGGGAAATTAGTCTTCTTGCGTCTTCTCCACAGCTGTCTTGAAGTAGGATGCTTGAAAGATGAAGATTCTGAGTTTATGCCACCAAGACGGCGGATTATATAGTGGCGAGGCTCTGCCCCTTTTCGCCATCTTGGCTGGCATTGGCCAGTGTGAAGTGCAACTTCCTGGCGTTGTGCAATAACATTTCAGGTAGGTTAAGGAAGGGAGGGAGTCCCCCGTCGCGTCAGTCGAAGTGAACCATCTTCGAAAGGGAACTAACTTTCTGTGTGTTTGTTTGACAAGCAATGTCCTTCGTAATTGGAGCCTTCTGTGACTTTGGTTAGACACGTACACATAATCAGGACATATCAAATGATCTCTAACAAAGCAATAGTGACACATAATACAAGTTTTGTACAAAGCATTGCTTTTTAATCTCAGTCTCTCTGCAAATCCAGCGTCGACCTGTGTCTTGTTTACAAAGGAATCCTCAGTGACATAAAGTTCAACCACGCATTCCTAATATTTGAATCCGAAGGAAGGTTATGCAGCGACTGTGTTCTTCCACAACCAGGCACTGCACAATATTTTATGATCTTTAACGGCATGTTTATTGCGTGGTTGCTCGATCCGGTTTAGCGCCACTTATGTTATTTCCCTACTGTGTCATGCATGAATCAGTGAGCGGGGCTACAGAATTAGGTTTTGATATTCTTCTGTGGAGGCGGTGTTTAACCCATCTATGACGTCATTCATAGGCACATTCCAGGATCTGGTGTTCGCTGGACCTGGTGTCAATAAAAGCTTTTGCCGGTTCGAGACTCGAACCCGCAACCTTGGGTTACGAGTCCGACTCTCTAACCATTAGGCCACGACTTCCCCCATGTACAATGTACAATGATCTCTTATATGTCAAAAGCTCAAGTAAAAGCTGATTTCTCAATTCATGACCCCTTTAAAAAACACAAATATATATATATTTTTTTTTTTGCATGCACAGTGTGTGCTAAAAAGGTTTAAAATCTAAATGTTGCCATATAAACTGTATAACTTATACTATATGAACATATAACTTGTTTGTCCACAGTTTGAAAGTACCAGGACAGTTTAAATTACTGAATTACTGACTAAATAATAATGAAGAAAAACAAAAGCACAACCTGTGCGTTTATGGGTAAGAGGTTAAATGTTCTTATTAAATATTGCTTCTTGAGTAAATGTGACTTCAAGCATCAAGTTAAGCACTGGGAAAGCATATCTCAAGCACTCTGTCAGTACCTTACGCAGTAACCGGTGTCGTGAGAAACCGGGTCCTTCAGGACGACAAGCTATCCTGCTTGTTCAAAGAACTTTTAAAGGGTACACGCAGACATGTTAAAGGAACACGCCACTATTTTTGAAAATAGGCTCATTTTCCAACTCCCCTAGAGTTAAACAGTTGAGTTTTACCGTTTTCTAATCCATTCAGCCGATCTCTGGGTCTGGCGGTAGCACTTTTAGCTGCAGCTTAGCATAGATCATTGAATCTGATTAGACCGTTAGCATCTCGCTCAAAAATGACCAAAGAGTTTCTATATTTTTCCTATTTAAAACTTGACTCTTCTGTAGTTACATCGTGTACTAAGACCGACGGAAAATGAAAAGTTGCAATTTTCTAGGCTGATAGGGGAGTTGGAAAATGAGCCTATTTTCAAAAATAGTGGCATGTTCCTTTAAGACCTAATATAATGAACATGAACAAATGTTGCTGAAGATACACAGAATGTTTACAGTTTTTCATCTATAGCACAAGTCAAAACAGGTCTACCTGTTATATTGTTAACTATGAATTACACCTGAAGTGCACACATCCAACAGGCCAAGAGCTCATTGTGGGTGCACAACCACAAAAAGTTCATTTTAGGCTCAAAATGTCATCTGTGGTGAGAACATAAATATTTTTCTACTTTTGGAGCTGTGGTGTGCCAACTTTGATCTTCCTTTATATTGTTAACTATCCCATAGTATCAGTTACTCTTGACATAAGACAGACATACTGAATCACATATTCAACACTCAAAACTCAGTGGTTGATGTAATGCAACATTAAATAATAAAAAATAATAAAAAATAATAATAATAATAAAAAAATAGTGTGTAACTAATAACAGCACTGACAGTGATCGATAGGACGAGTGCCATAATTCATAATAATCTGTGTTTGGTTCACTTTTGATCATTATATGAACATCAGAACAAAAGCGGCTGTTGATTGTGTCTCATCAGCTCCGGTGATTCTGGATCCAAACACGGCTCATCCACTTCTCATCCTGACTGATGATCTGACCAGTGCGAGCTGGAGTGACAACAAACAACCACTTCCTGATAATCCAGAGAGATTTGACATCTATCGCTTTGTTCTGGGTTCAGAGGGTTTTAACTCAGGAACACACTGCTGGGATGTGGAGGTTAAAGAGAGTCTATGCTGGCATCTTGGAGTAACTACAGCATCAAACCAGAGGAAGGGAGATGATTTATTTGATACTGGTCTCTGGAGTGTGCAGCACGGACTGGCTGATTATTTTGGTTTTCCTGTCAAACAGAATCTTCAGAGGGTGAGAGTTGATCTGGACTATGACAGAGGAACGGTGTCATTCTCTGATCCTGTAACTAACACACATCTACACACATTCACAACCACCTTCACTGACACTCTCTTCCCATTCTTCTATAGTTTTGCCCCTCTGAGGATCTTACCGTTCGATAGTCAGTAAATGTTACAGCTGTAGGTCTGGATCTTCCTGCTTTCATCATGTTTCCAATATTTAATCCATATCACACGAGTAAGAGTGCTGTTGATCTGAATATCAGTAGGCTATGGCTGTGATTGGGCCGCAGCTGATCACATGACTGATATCAGCACTACAGACACACTGTCAGTGCAAACTATAATGTTCACATTGCTTTGGTTTCTTTGTCATTGTTTTCACCTTGAACACATGGTAGACATACTACTTCCGTCTTCAGCTTTACTTTTTCACTAACTGTTTATGAACGTACAGATGCATCCTAAATGCCTGTAAGAGCTATACTCTATTGTGCTTATGGGTAAATTCAAAAGTTTATAATTTTATGATATCTTAAATTTTTTATTTCAATCATGACAACGCTCAAAATAGTTTAGTATGCTGATGGATATAACAACGTTAATGTATTTGGTCTTGGTGGAATAGATATGTTACGCTGCTGCTGCTGATTACTGCTACTTCTGTTATTGTTGCTGCAAGTATAATTAAGTGATAATTAAATTAGAACAGAGAGAATATGTATGATGCAAATAGAAAAAAGCTTCAACCAATAACATCACTCAGAAATCAGATGAAAATGTCAGTAACAAGTGTATATGAACATTACTTGACATGTATTTATATATCATCATAGTGTTTGCTGTACTGCCTTTATAATTCATGCTGATTTAAATAAATAAATATCAGAAAGAAAAAAGCTTAAATATATATTTATATATAGTTTAGTGCTCAAAATTATTCATAATTATTCGTATTATTTAGTGTTTTTGAGTTGTCTTCGGTAATGTAAGAGTTTTACAATGTCTTCATGTATTTATTAGGTGACAGACAACTGAAAGAGTAACAACGTGATATTTCAAGAAATATGTTATTTCATGGGTATTTTATTGACGAATATAAAAAAAAATATTTTTTTTTTTTTTTATTGTTTTACAAAGTCGAAAGTCCTTTTCAATAATCAATAGAAAAGCCTTGGTTCTTGATCACGGCCTCCAAACGCTTCTTGTAGGTCTCCACAAGTTTTCTACAGGTCTGCTGAGGGACGTTTCCCCACTCTTGCTTCACAATACCTCCAGTTGTTGGAGATTGGAAGACTTCCTAGCCCTGACCCGGGCCTTCAACTCTTTCCACAAATTCTCAATTGGGTTCAAGTCAGGGCTCTGACTTGGCCACTCCAGAACGTTGATGTTATTGTCCCTGAACCACTGCTTGAGCACTCGCGCTGTATGCTTCGGGTCACTGTCCTGCTGGTAGGTCCAGTCCTCTGGCAGGGTGAGCTGTCCTGACGCCACAAGTTTTTCGTCCAGAATCTTGAGGTAGTCCTCCTTTTTCATGATATCATCTATCTTAGCGTTTTTACCTGTACCACTGGCAGAGAAGCATCCTCATAGCATGATGTGACCACCACTGTGTTTGACTGTTGGGATGGTATTTTTAGGATTGAAAGCTTCCCCTTTCTTATGCCAAACATATGCAACATCCATATGTCCAAAGAGAATTTAGTCTCTTCTGACCAGAGCATGGATGACCACAAGCTTGGATCTCGATCTAAGACACCCCTCACAAAGGCCAGACGTGCAGCCCGATGTCTCTGGGTAAGGAGTGGTGTCTTTCTGGGACGATGTCCATAAAGACCACCTCGATGCAAAATTTGCTGAACAGTGGATCTTTATACCGTCGTTCCTGCTTGGTGGAGGGAGTCCATTAGGGCTTTGGTGGTGATACGAGGGTTGTTGCTTGCGTTGTGGCAGATCTTTCTAGAGACTATAGAGGATACCATGTGCCTCCTGCCACTCCCATCCAGGTTTTTAACAGTGTTGAACTTCTTGTTGAAGTTCACTTATGATCTCGAACTTCTTGATTATACTCTGTACGGTTGATACAGGAACATCCAATTCTTTCAAAATGGCCTTGTAGCCTTTGCCTCTAGGATGGGCTTTGACAATACATGAACGTACTGTAGATCAAGACATAGTTCTTTCTTTTTGGCCATGATGACAGTGCTGAGGATAATTAAAGCTTTGCCCCCTTAATTAATTATTTGCAGAGCAGGTGATACCATTTAACATTATTAGGCCTAAATTGATTTGGGATAAGAATTTTAAATTGATTGTCAATGATTATGGTCATGTGCACTTTCACAACAGAAGGTTTTTTTTTTCTTTCTGAGATTGGCAATAGGGTATGATTAATTTTGAACAGTTTCAAAAGATAATCTCTGGCCACATCTACTGATTATGCGAATAATGTTTAACCAACACATATGCAGGATTCTGCATAGCAGCTAATAGATATTTGATACAATGAAAGTTCCACCAAAGTAGTTTTTATCAATTAAAAAAGAAAAGAAAAATGAAAGATTTTTCCAAGGGGAAAAGGGTATGAATAATTTTGAGCACAACTGTGTGTGTGTGTGTGGTTACCCCATCCAAAGAGCTTCTATATATATATATATATATATATATAGCTTTTAACTATATATATTTAACTATTTGACTATCCAACGTTCCTGTTGGATAGTCAGGTAATGCTTGTTCAATCCTGTAATATAATAGCAGCTATTAGTAAAATGACCTATGGCATTCTCTCTCTTGTGTGGTTCTTTATACCAAGTTCCCACATGTTATTTGATGCTATAAAAACAGGGTGTGGCGTCATGATTGTGTGCTTGTGACTGGATCTGCAGGAGTTTGGGTAAGACTTTGATACAGCGGCTCCAGCTCATGATCATTACTGCACAGACTCGGGCTCCAAATAAATCACTACTGTGCAGACTCGGGCTCCAAATAAATCACTACTGTGCAGACTTGGGCTCCAAATGACGTCACTGGCGTAAGATGACAGCCACCATAGCTGGGTTATTTTAGCCTCACTTTTCTAGCGGAAGAAAGTGCAGACACGGTTTCCTTTTTTTTTTTTTTTTTTTTTACAGTCTATGGTCCCAGATCTGAAAAATGCCAAATCTCATTGCCCTTTACGCACAGTAAATCCACACTATCTCTAATACAGCTTTGGAGTGTTATTTTAGGCTAAGCATAGCCCTGGAATTCACAGATGTTGAGGAAAACTTTGCCGTGTAAGTCATTAATACAGGAAATACGTCATGTAAGTTGTCAAGTGCAAAGACCGTAACCACTGAGACAGACATTGTGCAACAGGCCTCAAAAACTCCACCCAAATACAACACTTACCAGGAAGAGACTGACTTATTTCTCCTCTCTGTCATACCAACTCTCTTCTTTCTTGACAAAAGCAAAAACATAAAAAGAATCGGCGTTCAATAAAGATTGAAGAGAAAAACGTTCAAAATGGATTTTTGAGAAGTTTGTTTTTAAACAGAAAGCAGATCTTTGTGATTCTTGTTGTTTTTCATTTTTGCAACATCATTCAGAAAGTGAAAGTAAAGTTTAGATCGCTGGAGCTCGAACAGTGAAAATGGCTTCACTATCGGAAGATGATTATTTTTGTCCTGTGTGCTGTGAAATCTTCAAGGATCCTGTTGTTTTATCATGTAGTCACAGTGTCTGTAAAGAGTGTCTTCAACAGTTCTGGAGAACCAAGGAAACTCAGGAGTGTCCTGTCTGCAGGAGAAGATCCTCAAATGATCATCCTCCATGTAATTTTGCGTTAAAAAACTTGTGTGAGTCGCTCCCGAAGAAGAGAAAAGAGAGCCGTTCATCGGGATTTGAGGAGCTCTGCAGTTTACACAGCGAGAAACTCAAACTCTTCTGTCTGGAGGACAAACAGCCGGTGTGTTTAGTGTGCAGAGATTCACAGAAACACGTCAATCACACATTCAGACCCATCAGTGAAGTTGTTCCATCATACAAGGTAAGACAGACCTATGTGGATTAAAACTTAAATCATAAGTTGTATATTAACAATGTATAAATTTCTCAGTAGGCTACCATTTTGCTCATTCTTTGCAGCTATTACATTAATGAACATATTAAAGAAATCTCTGGTTTCTTATGTTCACTTTAAATTCCAGGAGGAGCTCAATACAGCACTGAAGTCTTTGCAAGAGAAACTTAAACACAAAGAAAAAATTAAAGGGGAGTTTGAGAAAACAGTTCAACACATCAAGGTGAGCACTGATTCTTCTGACATTATTCACAAATTTGTTTAGAACAGCTGAATTGTTTGGCGGGAGGAGAATCTTCCATATGACGGCGCGTTGTTCACTCTGAGTGTAGATCCAGTGTGCTGTGTTTGTAGAAGTCTAGCATTCCAATCAGCATTGGCGCCTCTAAGGCCTCCACTCTTGTCAAACTCCGCCTCCACTTGTTCGTGGGAGGATCACTTTGAAATTGAAAAGGACAAAACTCACAAGCAAGCATGGAGACAACATACTCAACCATGTTTTATTTCCCTTGTAAATGAGATGAATTTTGTGTTCACGCAGCAGGTCGTCCAAGTGTTTAACTCACTCTATCTCAGTTGGACTAACGTGCCTTAACCTTTAACCGTCTGCACTTTCAGTGAATCATTTTAGGCGAACACAGACAACATGTTTAATATTCATGAGCCCAACAGTTGACAATATGCATAAATCTTAATGAAGATGTGAGCTGAGAGAAGTCGTCATTGACTATTGAAAGTTAAAAGATGACAATAATTTAAAATTGAAGTAACTTTTAGTTTTCATCTCAATGCACGTTTTTAATACTTTTTCACAGAAACACTAAATTAATGACAATGTCTCAAGCATCAGCAGCTCATAACTGTATTTAATTTATGCATTCATTCATATGTGTGAATTTGTTCTTTACATATACAGTATATATATATATATATATGTGTGTGTGTGTGTGTGTGTATGCATACTTCATTCAGTGGGTATGCTTACAAATGCTATCACATATAAATTGATCTCATTAATAGCTATTTAAAACGATGATTTTGTGACAAAAAAAATTTAATGTTTATTTTTCCCCTACAGAGACAGAACATCTACTACAGTACTAGTGCTTCAGAAAGTTAAAATTGTAGTTAACTAACCCACATTTATCTACTCGCTCTTCATGCTGCTCCAGAATAAGTTGCATCTTTGAGATGACTGAAGTGAATGTGATTTGATTTCAGTCTCAAGCTGATCACACAGAGCATCAGATTAAACAGCAGTTTGAGAAGCTTCATCAGTTTCTCAGAGATGAAGAAGAAGCTACAATCACTGCACTGAGGGAGGAAGAGGAGCAGAAGAAGCAGATGATGGAGGAGAAGCTGGAGGAGATCAACAGTCTCATCTCAGCTCTTTCACGACTGATGTGCCGCGTTACTTGGGCAACCTGCCCTTCAGAGTCTGGAAGAAGATGCAGGACACCGTCCAGAACAGTGAGTCTGGAGAAGATCTGCGCTCTTACACACACTGGAAATGATACATGGGGGAAGATTTACAGATTTAAAGATGCCTGATATGTTTCTTCAATAGGAGAAGTGTTGTTAATACATAATAATCTGTGTTCGGTTCACTCTTCATCATTATATGAACATCAGAATAAAAGCAGCTGTTGATTGTGTCTCTTCAGCTCCTGTGATTCTGGATCCAAACACTGCAAATCCACGTCTCGTCCTGTCTGATGATCTGACCAGTGTGAGATACAGCGAGGAAAAACAGCCCCTTCCTGATAATCCAGAGAGATTTGATGAGTGTCTTTGTGTCCTGGCTTCAGAGGGTTTTAACTCAGGAACACACTGCTGGGATGTGGAGGTTAAAGAGAGCTCACACTGGAGTGTTGGAGTAACTACAGCATCAAACCAGAGGAAGGGAGATGAATTCTTTAGCACTGCTGTCTGGAGTGTGCGGTATGATCAGTATGGACTGTCTGAAAGGTTTGGTTTTCCTGTTAAACAGAAGCTTGAGTGTGTGAGAGTTTGTCTGGACTGTGACAGAGGAACAGTGTCATTCTCTGATCCTGTAACTAACACACATCTACACACATTCACAACCACCTTCACTGACACCGTCTTTCCATTGTTTCGTAATCTTGATGAAAAAACCTATCTGAGGATTTTACCAGTTAAACACTAACAACAGAAAATCACTGTTGAATCTGCTAATAAATCAATTACAAAGATAAATAAATGTAAGATACAAGATAAGAATAAGATATAAAAATCTTACATATTTATTCTGTGGAATCAGAAATGTATGTAGTTAATAGTACAAACTGGCCAGTACAAACATAAGTTTGATATTCAAATGGATAAATATGAATGTTCTGCATCAGTAAAAAAGGATAATGATCTTTAACTTATTTGATCCAACTTATCTTATAAGACTAGAGTATGAGAACACTCCTTCAGAGCTTCTTTTGAACTTTACAGCTTATTTTGTTTGTTGTAACTTTTCCAGAGTATTACAAATAAAAATGTTTTATGCAAACAATAATATGCATTTGTGACACTTGTGAACACACATAGTGTAAACTTGTAGTTTATTTGGCTAAGCAGAGTATTAGCACTACCTAGTGGATATATTGGGTGAATTACAAGTGGCATTTTGGTGTACTTAAAAGACACTGAAGGACACTCAGAATCAGAATACATTTTATTAGTCAAGTGAGCACGACAGACTGTTGTGCAATTTGTTGTGGTACTGGGCATTCCAGTACTAAACATTAATACATTATATAGAATATTTACAAAAATGCAGTTTACGCAAGTATAGGCCTATGCAAGTTGTTTACACACAGAGTACAGGTGCAGAGATTTTCTGTGCAGGTGTCCTGACATTTCATCCTACCCGTCAGATTGTCCTACCAGAGCTTACTGCACATGTGCACATACTGTATACATTTTCTCACATTGAACAACACATAATTACTGTATTTGCATTACTGTAAGGGTAGGTTTAGGGTTAATAAAACATAATCGAATGGGTAGCATTTTTGTTGTGGCATTGACAGGGTAGCACAAATCGTCAGGACACCGGTTTATGAATAGTGAATGAATTCAAACGTGTAAGAGCTTCTCTTATAATTTCCTCTGAAGCTGCTCCACGTTTTGAGTGTGTTGAGCTGCAGGTCGCTACTTATTTGATCCAACTTATCTTATAAGACTAGAGTATGAGAACACTCCTTCAGAGCTTCTTTTGAACTTTACAGCTTATTTTGTTTGTTGTAACTTTTCCAGAGTATTACAAATAAAAATGTTTTATGCAAACAATAATATGCATTTGTGACACTTGTGAACACACATAGTGTAAACTTGTAGTTTATTTGGCTAAGCAGAGTATTAGCACTACCTAGTGGATATATTGGGTGAATTACAAGTGGCATTTTGGTGTACTTAAAAGACACTGAAGGACACTCAGAATCAGAATACATTTTATTAGTCAAGTGAGCACGACAGACTGTTGTGCAATTTGTTGTGGTACTGGGCATTCCAGTACTAAACATTAATACATTATATAGAATATTTACAAAAATGCAGTTTACGCAAGTATAGGCCTATGCAAGTTGTTTACACACAGAGTACAGGTGCAGAGATTTTCTGTGCAGGTGTCCTGACATTTCATCCTACCCGTCAGATTGTCCTACCAGAGCTTACTGCACATGTGCACATACTGTATACATTTTCTCACATTGAACAACACATAATTACTGTATTTGCATTACTGTAAGGGTAGGTTTAGGGTTAATAAAACATAATCGAATGGGTAGCATTTTTGTTGTGGCATTGACAGGGTAGCACAAATCGTCAGGACACCGGTTTATGAATAGTGAATTAATTCAAACGTGTAAGAGCTTCTCTTATAATTTCCTCTGAAGCTGCTCCACGTTTTGAGTGTGTTGAGCTGCAGGTCGCTGTGAGCCAATCATTATCTGCTCCTTTCTCCAGAGGTCAAAACAAAAATGAGCAGCTGAAATCTTTCATAAAGATTTTCAGTCTTCCATAAAGACATTTTCAGTCGCCAGGCGTTATTGTATTGTTGTGTTCATAGCGTGCAGCTCGTGAGGATTCAGGGAGGTATTCCAGAAAGCATTATGTTTTTAAAGGGATGGGAACACAAATTAAGATATTTTTTATGCATTCCGAGAGCTCTTTGACCCTCCCATAGACAGCAAGGGTACTACCATGATCAAGGTCCAGAAACATAGTAAGGACATCAGTAAAATAATCCATGTGACATCAGTAGTTCAACCGTAATTTTACGAAGCTATGAGAATACTTTTTGTGCACAAAGAAAACTAAAATAACGACTTTGTTCAACAATTCTTCTCCTCCTCATTCAGTCTGGTGTGGCTTGCCTCCATTTTGGAGAGTATCATGACGCATGCGCACACTTCCGCTTCGTGTAAACAAGGCATGCTGACACATGTCCGTGTTGACGTAAGCAGCAGGGCAATGCGCATGCATTGTTTACATGAAGTGGAAGTGAGCGCACGAGTCGTTTCGGCTTTCGGTTCCAAAAACGGATATTACTTTCAGCATAGGCAGGCGCCCCCCTTTTTTTTTCTAGGTTTTTAATGTTTATTTTTCAGTGTTAATTAAAGTGACACTGGGAGTAAAAAAAAAAAAACAGGAATATCATTAGGAAATCCTAATGCCATCAAGGAAATCCAAACCCCATCAAGCGCCGCCACAGCCAAATGGGTGCCTTGAGCAAAATTTTATTGTTGTGCCCCCTCCCCCAAATATTATGGAAGTAAAAAAACAAAACAAAAAAACACCTACTATAGGGGTCAAAATAGAACTTCAATAAAGCATAAAAGTAAATAAATAAATAAATTGTAATTCAATTGTATTATTTACAAATTAAAAAAAACTAAAATTACACACATTAAATACAACATTTTAAAAGATTAAATATCAAAATAAACAATAATAAATTTAATTTAAAAAAATCAAAGGCAGCGGCTATTTACACTAAGCGCAAATAGCTATATTCCATTTACACTATGATAAAATAGCAGGATTTTTCTGCTATTTATACTACTTTTTGCAAATAGTGGCAATTATCTGCACCAAAGTATTGTAGTGAATTATAAAACAGTATGCAATAATAATGTATTGAGTGTAAATTATAATTTTTATTCAAATTTAAAAAATGGATGCCTTCTTATTGGGACAATAAAGGCCTCCCTACACCTACCCTACCCGATACTTTATTTTCAACTTTTCGATTATTTCCTCCATCTTTATTAAAATAAATGCCTTTCCATTGCGATATGAGATTTGAAAAAGGAGGGAAAAAAAGTTTGGCAAAAGGCAGATTCGAACTCGGGTCGATCGCATCAAAACAACTGCGGCACACACTTTACCATCTACGCCACTCACTTTACCATCTACGCCACTGGAGATGTTGCTTGTTAATTGTGTTTTGTAGTGTTGACTAGCCCAATCACACGTAGGTGGGCGGAGTTAGTGTAAATAGCTTCTGCCAACAAGGCGGGCTATGTTTCAATAGGAATAACTGAGCATTACATTCGCGAGTCATAAGCATATTACAACAATTTACGCTTAACTAAGAATAATGGTCAAATTTATAACTGTTAATAGTCTAAAATAAGATCTTCTTTATGACGTATGCAGCCTACAAATGCGACATCCGGAGGATGCAGCCTTCCGTTTGAGAAACGGCCTTCGTTTAAATAGACACTCCGAAAATCAACGCTGATATAGCTACGTCATCTGCTGGAGCATTCCAAATTTCAACATTTACAAAGGCACTCCTGCTTTTCTGGAGGCGAAGTCGTCAATGAGCTCATCATATGATAATTAAAACATTAATTAATGCTGATAAATGTTATTAACGTCAACAGCCAAAAAAAGTTTAACAGGATTATGAACGTACCTTAAAGGCATGCACGGGCTTCATCTTGGGCTTTTTACCTTTTTCTGTTCTCGGCGCCGGACTGCTGATGTTCTGCACCGTTACTTATTTCATTTTTATTTATTAGAAAGGTATATACTGTTCTAATTTAATTCTGTAAATTCGTTTTTGATTGTTTTTCGGTGCATCAATGTTGACTACTAAGAGCGTGCTTGCACAGGCAATTTAGCCGATTTCATTAGATTTGCCGACATGTGAAATACAAATCCTGTCTGCAGTGCAGCCTTTCTTTCACACGCATGATTCGACTATCAGTCGACTATAGCAAGGCTCGATGAATCTGATTTGACTATGTATTCGGGAACACCCCTAGTTTTGAGTAAGCGACCTCTAGCGGCAAAACGTACACATTGTGCCTTTAAATGAATGTTTTGTGTGTCAATTTAACTATAAATTACAGTCATGACATATTTATGTAGTATTTTCTGATGCATTATATTTTTAAACTCTGCTCTTCTATGATCCTGACAGATGAGCCATATCCAGCGAAAAACGCAGGATATAAGGGTTCAGTGAAAGTGGTCTGGACTCTGTGAAGAAGAGTCATTTTGTCAGAGATGCTGTAGAAGGACAGAGTTCCTGCTCCATGATCCAGATACACTCCTACTCTAGAGGAGCAGACAGCAGGGACTGAGACTTTCTTTTTGTCATGTGTGAAATAGAAATTTTGTAGATAGAAGCTGAATCTCCAGGACTTTTTGTTGTCACCAAGTCTACAGTCATCACTGTCTCCTTTACGTCCAATTCCTTTGTAACAAACTGCTACAGCCCATTGCTTTCCACTGCACTCGACCTCCCAGTAACCGCGACCACACAAACCCTCTCGACACATGACATTCACATATCTATCAAATCGCTCCGGGTGATCAGGATAATGCTGTTTTTTATATGTAAATGATACTTTCCTGTTGTCCTCAGATAGTTTGAGGGCATTGTTTGTAGTGTTTGGATCCAGGTGAAGTTCACAGAAATCTGAGGAGGAGAAATGAAAAAAAAAAACATCAACAGATCAAATATTGAACAAAGTACACTTTGGTTCCAAAATGGTCACACTGTAACAGATCATATACTTATCAATTATTCAATGTTTGCCTCAAGGAAACCGCAGTTGAACTCACACTGCAAAAAATCATTTTGGGTCTTGGCAACACAGACTTTTGACACTGAAGAGACAACACAAAACAAACATGTGATTAATCTGTTGCTTTAATCCTGCAGAGTATGAATGACAATACAATATATCGAAATATTCAGACCTTCTTGTGATATTTTAGCTGTTTGTTGTTGACAGATGTCATCCAAAACCTCCTTAAATATCGAGATTGAAACATCTTTAAAATACAGATGAGTGTGTTGTGTAATGGGAACGTTTTCAAATGTGGGTAAAACACACACAGACTGACAGCTCTGAAACGAGACAAACAGCTTGTTATGTTAAAGAGACTATTTTAAAATGTGAGTCAGTATAGAAACATGGCGGTATACTGACTTTCATTACCTTCAGAAAATTGACCTGATCCTCAGTAATCAGTAGTTTTTCAATCTCAGCTTGTCTTTTTCTGAGTTCTGTCAGCTCTTGATCCAGATGTCTGTGAAGTTCCTCTGCTCGAGCTATCTCAGTCTTCTCCTGAGCTCTGATCTGCTCTTTAATCTCAGAGCGTTTCTTCTCAAGAGAGCAGATGAGCTCAGTGAAGACCTTCTCAACGTTCTCCATGGTCTCTAGCGCTGAACTCTGTCAGAGACACAAAGATCTGATCATGCAGATCATCGTTGTGACTCAAAACAATGTAGATAGACAGTAAATTAGTGGCTGTCAAGCTCCAAAATGGACAGAAGTCTCAATAAGAACATTGTGAAATGTATAAACACTTTTTATATCCATTTTTGGAGCTCAAAACCCATTGGTCATCATTGTCCACTTTTATTGAATTTAAAAGATCTACTTTTGTGTGTCAAACAAACTTTAAAGCTAAAGAAGACATAAAGACACATACTTGAAGAAGCTTCAGAGCTTCACTGAGCTCCCGCTGACCCCTCTCTCGCTCCTGGATCAGTTTTTGGCACGTCTCCTTTATCTCCTTTAACTCTTCCTAAGGATGTTAACATACAAAATAATAAAACAATAGACCCTGGTAAAGGGGTGTAACCAGGGAAATCAAAATTACAGACTATAAACAGTAGCGGCTCCTGACTGTAAATTTTGGTTGGGCAGAGCCTGGGTCTTAGCACTAGTTTATCATAAATATTTTGTAAGCTTTATATTCTAATCACTGAACGCATGCAGAACACTTTTGGCAGTTGCTGCGTTATTCAGCCTGTGCTCTGACAGGCTTTATGTACTAAGTCACGATCACCCGCATAAACTGCTACCTTAGAAAAATAATTGCCTTAATGTAGTATTTATTGTCTCCGAGTGTTGTTTTGGAATATTACAAGTTGTGGAGGAAATCCATAGAGGAAAAAAATCCATGTCTATTCTCAAACGTAAAACAAACACAACAGAACTATATAAAGGCTATTTGCATGAGCACGATTAAACAAAAGTATTTATGCATTCATTATTTTGATATGCTACTCCACGTAGGAAGAACAGATGTGCCAAGTTACTGACCTGATGCAGACTAATATCTGACCGAAGCAGATGTCATCTTAGTCTGGAGTCTTGAACACATTTACAATTATTGATTGAGTTTATATAGAAGTCTATGTTTTGGATGAATATTTTGGTAGCGCTCTGCCCCACCTGCCCTTACAGACGAGCCACAGCTGATATAAATGTATGCTATAAAATAGTGCATTTTTTATTATTGCTGATATTACCTTTTTCCTAGTCCACTCTGAATCCACAGACACCACACTGTGTCCTTTATGATTATCAGTACACAAACAACAAATGCACTGACTGTCGTCCTGACAGTAAATCTCCAGAAGTTTCCCATGACTGAGGCAGATGTTCTCCTGAATGTTTCTGGAGGCTTCGACTAGTTTGTGCTTCATGAACGCTGGAGATTGATAGTGAAGCTGCAGGTGAGTTTGACAGAAGGAGGCCAAGCACTGCAGACAGGACTTTACAGCTCTGCTCTTCTCTGTAGTGCAAACATCACAGTCCACAGCAGCCGTTTGTAGGGCCGTCTGCTGCAGTGTCTCCATCATCTCAGCTATCAGAGTGTTCTTCTTCAGTAGAGGTCTCTGACTGAAGCTCTCTCTGCATTGGGGACAGCGGTACGGCGGCTCCTGCTCCTTCTGGCCCATGCTGCTCATCCAGTAACTGTGTCCACAGGGAACCGTCACCGGCTCCTTCAGTCCATCCAAACAGACTGGACAGCTGAACTGATCCACAAACCGACTCGCTGCTGATTCTGCCATTTCTTTCCAGTGAATTTTGACTTCAGTCTTGTAATAAGAGCTGTTTCGCCAAGAAAAGCAACAATATTTGTCAAATGCTATTTTTCACTTAAGTGAATTACGTATGGATGCTATTTTACAAAGTCCAAGTATCTAACCAACAATACTTTAAAAGAAGGGTAATAATCACAATGTTAATCACAATTTTTTGACTGAGGAAAAAACAAAAAACGGTTCTCTGCTTATCAACTGCAGGCTGCAAATACTGTTGCTTGTGCTGTCAATAGAACTCGTATTTAGCCCAGAATAGCCTTTTTTCAGACATGATCACCATAAAAATAAGTTTGTCATTTTAAAGTGCCCCTATTATGGATTTTTATCAATTACATTTTGTGCCGTGTGTAATGCAGCTGTATGTGAATGTAAACAGGCTGCAAAGTTGTAAAGCTGAAAGTGAATCATAAATAAATATTGTCTCTAAAAAGAAAGTGGACTGAAACGAGTCATTTTTTTCCTTTGCACAGTTCATTTAAATGAACTGCTTCTTTTTTTTTTTAGATTTAAATTCAAATCCCATTCCGCGAATTTCACATTTCACAAATTCTCATATTTGCATACCCTGTTGAAAAAACCAGCATATGCTGGTTAGGTATGTTTTGAAGCTGGGATGCTGGTTTGAGCTGGTTTAAGCTGGTCCGCCCAGCTTAAGACCAGCACATGACCAGCTAAGGACCAGCATAAACCAGCAAAGGGCCAGCATAAACCAGCAAAGGGCCAGCATAAACCAGCAAAGGGCCAGCATAAACCAGCAAAGGGCCAGCATAAACCAGCAAAGGGCCAGCATAAACCAGCAAAGGGCCAGCATAAACCAGCAAAGGACCAGCTTAAACCAACTCAAACCAACATCCCAGCTTCAAAACATACCTAACCAGCATATGCTGTTTTTTTCAACAGGGTAATGCCCGCCTACATTCTACGTGGACCTCCCGCGAAAACTTGAACCACCTTCAAATGCTGTAGCAGGTTCGTGTGGATAACATAATGTCGAGAGGACGCTGTGCTCTGTGCTGTGAAAGTAAATTCTGTTTATTTTCACTTCCAAAGGATGAAGCTGTGATGAATCAGTGGTTAAAATTCATCTTTACTAAGATACTACAGCAGCATAATCACAACTTTTTGTTGTGTTCTCGTCATTTCACTGACGACTGCTTCTCCGAGTAAAATGTTGGATTCCTAAACCGGTCGTCTTTGAAAGATGGGTCAGTGTCATGTTTGTTTGGACCAGCTTGCTCCTTCGAAACTCAACCTGTAAGTATGATTAATAATTGTTGCGTTGATGTTCTGTCGAGCGTGCAAAATATGTAGTTGTTGTGATACACTCAGTGCAGCTGTAAGTCTCCGGCTAACTCATGTTATAGTTCTGCTAATCAGCTGTGGGTCCGCTATTATCTAGAAATGTGTTGATTAATATAAATGGTCTGTTGTACTTGGAGTCATGATAAAGGATGGAGCAATACGTAGGTTACAACCTGCAGTGCTTTATCAGTTCTTTGTCTGTGTTCAGCTAATGCATTTACCATTTTTGTTTGGGTCTTTACAAGCTGTGAGTCCGGTTCACTAACATAAGTGTAAAACGACTTATTACTTATTGAACAGCTAATGCAGCATATGGCTGCGTTAGCTGTAACAGAGATGTGTAAGATAGATGTGTAAGGGTGTGTAGTTTACAGTTGCTTACTGAAGGCCCTGACTGAAACCCCACGGTATGCCACTGCATTGCATGCATGTAAACCTGTTGTTGGGGACTCCCAAAACCAGATTATAAACATTTCAAATACCATAATAGGGGCACTGTAAAGAATTATTGAAATTATAAAGAGTAAAAAGTATAGCTTTGTAGTATAATTATACAATCGAATATTCTGTTTGAAAAGCTTTACGTTTTTATTAGATAACAATCTAAAAATAATCGTTTAGCAATGAAGTGCAAAACTAAATTTAGTCTCACCAGCTCTGAACAAGTTACAGGAGTAGAAACGATCTGTACACACTTATGAACTAATATATTATTGCATGCGTTTTGTGTTTAAAAGCTGCATTTTGGATATTATGAAGTCCTTACCCCGGGAGAAATACACCTCAAATATCATTTGCTTTTACAGCTTTGCCCAAAAGAACAGTGTACCGGATCTATTACAGCGGCTGAAATCACGCGTGTTGTGAGGAAATAGGTTTGGTTGGTTTCATTTCTCTTGGTTTTTACTTCCTGGTTTTCAGTGCGTAAACAAAATGGGCGTGTCTCAAAGATGAGAGAGATGATGAAACACACAGAGAGAGAGAGAACTATAATGTTTATTTTTTTATTTTTTTCATATGATCGACTGGTGAACATTATTGGACTGTAATTATTAAACTTAAAACATTTAAAATAGATTATTTCTAGGCTTAAAAAAACAAGATTGAAAATCATGAAAGCAGATTATCTTGACCACAATTGATCACAGCTGATATTTCTACAGAATATGAAAAATACATTTGATAATTTTTTTATGTAAAATGCTGAATTAAATATTCTACATGAATCTATGTATTTTGACAGTTTAGTTAAATCACTTAATAATGACAGACAAATTAAATGACAAAATCTCAGTCAATGCAATACATGTGAATTACAGATACAGTACACTTCAATAAACGATACACTTGTTTTTAGCTAAAGGAATGTCATAATAATAACAGACTATGAACTGATATTAAAATGACTGAACTTAATTGGCCTTACATGTGATAAATAATAAAGATATCTGAAATGTAGCATAAACAAATTATTATATCAATTATAATCATTTTAAAATTAAATTATAAAAATACAAGCAAACTTGTGGGACAGAGGGTTTTCTGCACCAATTCTAATAAGGGTTTATTACCTCAAGGGCTTAAAAATCACATTCCACTTTGAAATGAAAACCATCATCCAAATCTATATCAATTATTTGTATACAAATCCCATTTTAAAATAAAATAAAATATTCCTTTAAATCTAAAACGTCCGACATAAATGTTCAAATCACTGTTACCTAAAAAGAAAAAAAGGGTAATTTTCTAAAAAAAAAAAAAAATAGGTAAGTAATTTTACCTCAAAAACCAATGGAATAAATCTAAAAATATAGATTTTTTTATTATTATTATTAAATCATGATTAATGAGAGCATAACCATTTAATAAATCTTCTAAGACGAGATTTAATGTGGAAAAAGTGGCGGAAATTTACCCTGTGCTATACTCTACATAATGACCTCTTGTATTTCTGAATAGTTCAGTTAATTTATGGTATAAATTCTGTTAAATCAAGAGGAAGTCTCACACGTTCATAAAGACAGCTTTCGTCCGCGTTGCAAAATAAGGTGGATACTTGGTCTTTTTTCAGCTCTATGATCCTGACAGATGAACCGCATCCAACTTTAAACGCAGGGTATAAGGGTTCAGTGAAAGTGGTCTGGACTCTGTGAAGGAGAGTCATTGTGTCAGATACTCTGTAGAAGGACAGAGTTCCTGCTCTGTGATCCAGATACACTCCTACTCTAGAGGCAACAGGGATTGGGACTTTTTCTTGAGCATGAATGAAACTGAAATTCTGCAGATAATAACCCAGTCTCCATGACATTTTGTTGAAGCCAAGTGCACAGTCAACAGTGCTTCCTTTACGTCTAATTCCACTGTAACAAACTCCTACAGCCCATTCATCCCCACTGCACTCGACCTCCCAGTAGAAGCGACCGTACAAACCGTCTCTAGACAAGATATAGGGACGCTCATTAAACCGCTCTGGTTGATCAGGATATTGCTGAGCTTTATCTGAAGATAATATTTTCCTGTTGTCTTCTGACAGTTTGAGGTTATTGTGTGCAGTGTTCAGATCCAAGTGAAGATCAAAGAAATCTGAGGAGGAGAAATGGACAAAAAACAAATGTTGAACAAAGTACACTTTGGTTCCAAAATGGTCACACTGTAACACATTGTATCCACTGATACTTATCGGTTAATAAGTGTTTCCTTTGAAGAAACCTCGATCACACTTACACTGCAAAAAATCATTTTGGGTCTTTGGTTCTGGAGGGTTTGTAACATAGACATTTGACACTGAAGAGTCAAAACAAAACATGCATACGGTTAATTTGTTGGTTTAACCCTACAGAGTATGAATGGCAATATAACATATAAAAATATTCAGACCTTCTCTGGATATTCTGGCTGTTTGTTGTTGAAAGACGTCCTCCAAAACCTCCTTAAACATTGAGATTGAAATGTCTTTAAAAAACAGAGTGTGTTGAGTCATGGGAACGTTTTCAAATGTGGGTAAATCACACGCAGACTGACAGCTCTGAAATGAGAAAAATACAGCACTGCTTGTTATGTAAAAGACAATGAAAAATGTGAAACAGTGAGTAAGTACAGAAACATGGTAGTATACAGTGATGAAATGACTAGCGCTGTGACGGTGGTGCAGTGTTTGGGGATATACAGTTGCAATCAAAATTATTCAACCCCATTGCAAATCAGGTTTATTGGCAAAATTTACAGATTTTCAGCTGTTTGCAATGAACAAATTAAACAAAAGTAATTGAAATTGCTCAACACAGTGAGTGAGCAAGTGGTTTCCCCAAATTCAACTGAAAATGCAACTTTTAATGACTTCTGCAGTCTCAAAATTATTCAACACATTCATGGCAAACATCTTTAGTAGTTAGTGGAGCACCCTTTTGCTGTTATGACCTGCTGCAAACAAGATGCATAGCCAGACACCAGCTTCTGGCAGCGTTCCATAGGAATTTTTGCCCATTCCTCATGAGCAATGGCCTCCAGTTCAGTAATATGCTTGGGTTAACGTGCTGCAACCGCCTTCTTCAAATCCCACCATAGATTTTCAATCAGGTTCAAGTCAGGTGACTGTGATGGTCAGTGTAGAATATTCTGCAAACAAGCCTTGGTGGAATTTGAAGTATGCTTGGGATCATCGTTGTGTTGGAAGGTCCAGTGACACCCAAGCTTCAGCTTCCTCACAGAC